TATGTATTAGGCATATGACTGTATCCATATACCTAACTTAAATACCTGTATATCTATAATTACATGTTCCTACAGTGGGAAGCCCGGCCAGCCGAGGCGGGCGCGCGCTAGCGTTTACAATTACCAATATCATTGTGAAGTCCATTTGAGGTACCATATACTGTAAATATATGGAATCTGGAACCATAATATGGGTAATTGCTGATGCCCTATATGAAATTCTTAAACCAGCCCCATACAAACTTCCGAGACTCCAACCGCTGAGAGCAAGCGAGACATCTCAGTGTCCAACAAACCTCAACAGGTTTAGGCTTTAGGGTGTAGGGCTTGGGGTCATGCAGTGTGTGTTGCAGTGGGGTTTATATAGGGTTTAGGGTTTAGGTACATGGGCGCCTTGGTCAGGGTTTAGGATATCCCAATCATGAGAAATCAAGCGGACAAGGAAATGGAAAGCGAACCCTAAACTTTAAAACCTATAGCCATAAGGCCTCTCACGGGGCCCCTGGTCCTAACTATGCGCCCCTAATTAAAGCTTGGGCTTGCAGGGCTGTATAAGGTGTGTAATGGGAATGTAAGCTGGAACAGTTTTGAGGATTAAGGTTCAAGGGCTGGGAGTTTAGACTTTGGGGGCTTTAGGGTTTAGAGCTTCGAGTTTCCGATCGAGGCCTGCGATTCAGCGTTTACAGTGCAATCAAGGTCTGGCACTTAGGGGCTCCAAAACCTATGGATTGTGAACTGACAAGTTGATGGGAGGGCAGTTTAGGATTTAGGGTTTAGGGTTCAGGGTTCCGGGTTTAGGGAGTCATGAGCATGGAAGGAGGCATGACAGAGGACTGCAAGTATGCCATGAGATTTGTTGGGACGATTATTTTTCGGATTAGAGGCTCATCCCTCAACCTTAAACCCTAAACCATAAACTAATATCTGGCTGGTGCCATAAAACTGCAATCTTCCACAAGCTGGTAAAATGACTACCAGACCTGGAAACTTGAACCGCAAAAGCTTAGCCTTTTAGGGTTTCATGCATTTCCACACATTTCTAGCACTATACCGCAAACCCAGGGAACCACCCTATACATATTAATATATATATGTATGTATGTATGTATGTATGTATGTATGTATGTATGTAATCATCTGGGGCATGCCCTAAGCCCTGTTTGAGTAGTGTTTTTTTGTGGTTGAACCTAGTAAGATAATATTCCTTATATAAAATACTATACCCCGAAAGGAGGATAGAATCTTACTCTATATTGGGTACCAGAGTATCTCCAAATGAAATACTACTCATTTGAAGCTTCCGAACTCAGGCGACTCCTAAGACCGGCGCAGCATTCCCAGTTGCGGCTCCACACCGGCACCTACTGTTGATGGATGAAATCTTGCACCACCTAGGGGTAGGGTTTAGGCTTTAGGGTCTATGAAATCTTGGCCCTAAACTACTGTAATTCCTAGGACCTTTAGGGACCTAAGGTGGTGCAAGATTTGCTCCATCAACAGTTTGATCCGCATTTGTGTACTTAGGGTCTGGGGGGGTTCAGGGTTGGGCCTTGGGGTTTAGGGTGGGGTCAAAGGCTTTAAAGAGTAGGGCTTTTTTTGTGGAAATTATGATTTCGGATTAGGGTCTTGGGGTTTGGGGTTTGGTTGTTAAGATTTTGGCTAGTCTTGCCTTGCCACGTGACAAGGTGAAATTGGGAGATAAAGCTTGGATGCAGCAGGCGGTTGAGATCGTTGAGACCCTTAACTGGTAAGCCCAAACCCCACATGCTAAACCCTAACTCTAAATCCTAAACCCTAAACCCTAAATCCTAAACCCTAAACCCTAAACCTTAAATCCTACAGCCTAGCCCCGACAGCCCAAGTCTTAAACCCTAAACCCTATTTCCTAGGGTTTAGGGTTTAGGGTTTAGAGTTTAGGGTCCTAAACCCTATTTCCTAAACTTTGAACCTATGATATGCCTGGGCGATTTCTATCTCACGGCACCCGGCAGGGCCAACTCTGAATTTCTGTGCCTCTTTAGCGTTTGGGCTTTAGGATTTCGGGTTTGGGGTTGAGGGCTTAGGGTTTAGGTCTTTGAGTTTAGGGTTTGGGGCTTAGGGTTTAGGGTTTAGGGCTTAGGGTTGAGGATTTGTGGTTGAGAGTCTAGGGTTTAGGGTATACTTGGGACACTGAATGGCACCCTAACTTTGGAAGCCACCGTAAAACCTGAACAAATCATCTTTGTCGAGGTCTGCTTGAGGTACCCTCTGCAAAAATCACGCAAAGAATCTAGGACCATCATATTGAAAACCATATTTCATAAACAGCCTAGACAACCCCAGCTTTCACATCATTTTCCACTTATTGTCCACGAACCCTGAACTTAAACACTAAACCTTTAATCCTAAAACTTTAACCCTGAATCCTTAACCCAGCACCCTAAATTGTAAACCCTAAAACTTAGACCCTACACCCTAGGGTCTAAACCCCATAGGCAACTGCCTGTCCGAAAGACCTTAACTTGAAGATCCACATGGTTTTAGGGTTTAGGGTCTATTGTTCAGGGTTTAAGATTTAGGGACTGACAACTTCCATACACCTCGCTCTATGGGGGCTTGTTCTCGAGGTCCTTGTAAGGAAGGGAACATTGGGAATACACTTCCTTAAAAGGGGATCCTAACCCAACAGGGAACCTACATTATGGCCATTTCGGGGACTGGCATTTTGAACCCTAAGCACCAAGCCCTAAACGCCTAAACCCTAATCCCTACTCCGTAAACCCTAAACCCCAAACCCTTTTGGTAAAGGTATTTTGGACAACTACCCCAGGCCACAAGCTTGAAGACCTACACTT